AGATCTATGGATAAAGAAGAGTAAAACAGGATTTTATTTTTTTTTTTTAGTTATTTTAATATTCAATATTTTGATTCCTTTTTTCTTCTTCCTTTCTTAAGGTATTTGTTAAGGTTGTTTTGAAGGAAAGAGAGGCTTTTGTCTTTGAATGTCCTTTGTGCCTTGCTTAAAAATGCTTCATCACATAATTAAATTTCTGTTGGTGCAGCTCCAGGGAGCATTACCTGAATCTCCACCTGTGGTCTCATGACCTGTTTATGCTGATACAAATCTTGTTGGCCACTAAAAGTGGTACCACTGCACTTTCCCCCATTAATGGTTGCTGATTCCTGACCCTTCCCATGCAGCAGTGCTGGGTTTCACCTGGTTCTTCAGTGAGCTGAGCCAGGGCAGTGATAAAACTGAGAGGCAGCCCTGCAGAAAAGCTTGTTTTAGCACCAGCCTGGTAGATTGGCCTAGGACTGCTGCAAAATTGCATTTTCTATTCACAGAAAAAGCTGTACGGGTGGTTTATGTAAAACTTCTCTCTCTCTCTCCCTCTCTCTTGGCCATGGCATCACAGATTATATGTTAACCTCCAGTTGGAAGTCTTAATGTAGTCCATTACTTCTCTACAGGATAGCCTAAACTACAAGTCGCCAAGGATTTTCAAGCAGAGCTCAATTAAAAATGATTGCATAGCTGATTTTCTGCAAGATTTAAATGTGAATGTCCTGTTTTTGTTTAATAGAACATGAAATATGGTGGTATAGAATAATACTAGAAGCATGAATGCCATTCCCACAGGATGAGGCACAACACAGCAACAATGGAGATTCATTCAGTGTATGTGTTCATAGTCTATGTTTAGATATTGCCATCCTGGAATAACATTTCTCTCAGGCTGAGTGGATCTGATTGTTGTTTTGAGGGCCAGATTTATGGTAGTCAGCAAATGAAGGATATTTCCTTGTATGACTGTTGTCTTACTCAAGGTGCACAACACATTCAAGGAGGGGAAATGGTAACAGAAATGTCACAGAGTCTCAGTTAAAACACTTCTGCCATGTGCCATCCAGAGACACACTTCAGAGTCTGTGTGCTTTTTGGATTTCTCCTAGACCCTCAGCTGAAGAGCCCTGGTCCAATCTCATCCTTTTTATCTGTGAAACTGTCTCATCCTGGACCACCCAACACCCAAAAGTGAAGCTGAGGGACCCTTTTCCATTGCGTAAGTATTGTGTAACAGAAAGAACTGTCAGAGAACATTTTCATAGGCTGACAAAAATAAAAAAGCAAAACCAAAAACAAACAAACAAAAAGCCCAACACTTTACCCTCTCAGTACATATACCTCTCAGTAGCAAAAAAAGGGGTGAAAAGGTTGTTAGGGTGAAAGCAGAGTTTTATCCTGAGGGGTTATATATAGGTGATTCATTAGATTTATGGCAACACTTTTTGCTGTAACAGTGGATACTGCTGTGTAGTGCTCAATAACTCTTTTGCACTTAAATTGCATATTGGTCCATCTACTTATGCTATTTTAAAAATCACTTTTTGCACAGAGTTTTACTGTCTTGTCTCTTGATATTGATGATAATCCAAATGTCTATAATATTTTAAAACTGCCCCTGTTGAAAAACAAGACAGCAAGCAGCCCCCAAATAGCAGGATTGTTTTGGGCCAGCACAGTCCTGTGGGGAAAGGCCAGGCTGTAGCAAAGCTACCTCGAGTCCCTGAGGTCTGTAGGGTCTGTGGGGATGTCCTGCTGTGGTCACAGCTCTGTTGCTCTTTAAATAGCTGCAGCGTGAGCAGTCCTTGCTGTGCGGCCAACTGCTGCCGATTGATGCAAAAAACATTACAGCCTTGCTGGCAGTGGCCAGTTTCCTAAAGAAGAAATTCCCTGGCTATCCCTTGAATAATAGCCCTTGAATAACTCTTGGCCATGCTCCCACAGCACTGGGAGGTGCCTGACCCGAACTGTGACTGGTGTCAGTTTTGGTGGCATGCATCTGGCATGGCAGAATGGCAGATGGCGCTTCATCCAGGGATCTGGAGCTGTTGGGAGCACCCTGCTCTACTCTTTCCCTTTTCTCAGGGACCACGGGGATCAACGTGGGTGCTGAGAGGCTGCAGCAGGAGCAGCTCCTTGCCCAGAGCGGAGTGGTGGCATGCCAGGGGGTGTGGGGAGGGTGAGTCAGGGCCAAGGCCAGCGGGGACTTCTTATGGATGAGGCAAACCCTCGTGGCATATTTTTAGTGCCTGAGGGCCTCTGGGGTCACATATGGTACATTTGATCAGGGCAGTCAACATGAAGATGCCTGAGACAGCCTTGAAGGTTTGGTCTCTGGGATTGTTTATGGCATTAATTGTTAAGTAAAAATAAAGCACAGAGACCGCTGTTATTTTTAATAGTACTATCACAAACGGCAAAAATATGTCTACTAAAAGTGAACTCTTTTCTTAAAATACTTTTTTCCCTTGCACTGAAGGCCACTCACATTAGAGAAGTGACTAAAGAGCTATTGCCGCAAACAGGAGAACTGCCATGCTAATTTCTTTGTGCTGTGCTGCTTGGTGAACCTTTACAAATGAGATTATTTACTCTCCAATTCCCCCATTGTCATTCTCTCACCCCTTTCTATGTGTGGTAGCAAAAGCAAAACAAAAGTAACTAAAATGTCAGCTTCTGAAAAACAGCATTTCATTCAGCTACACGATTTTATTGTCAATGCACACAAACAGAAATGAAAAATAATACAGGAATAAAATGAAAATGGAGAAAAGACAGCAAACAGCAGTGAAGATAAAAAAAAAAAATAGAGATACCAAACCTTGAAAAAGGAGAGCATCTTGCTTCTTCACATTAAACTCTTTAACTTTATTTTTTTGTCTTGTCTTGCAATAAGGTGATGAAGTAGATAGTGTCATAACAAGCATCAATTACACTGTACTTCAGGAAGTGCAGGCTTGGTTGCAATCCCTAAAACTCTGTTTCTGGCAAAATTCCCAGAATGTTTTTGGGTTTTGCTGTCCTTTTCAAGGAAGGAGGAATGTTACATAAGAGATTCTTGCACTATTTGCACTTTTGTTTTTCTTAGCGAGAGTCAGCTTATAAACAAAGATGTTTTTAAAAAGTAATTTTCAACTGGTGTGTACAATCAGCACTGCAACATTTCAGCTTAAATGCAATGGGTATTCCCATATGATTTTAGGCTGCAGTACAGACAATGTTGACATACTACTCATATCAATGGGCACATCATCCTGTTTGACCTTTCAAAAACTATTGATGTTATTGATTTTTTAAACAGTAGAATAATAAAGGAAGGTGGCCTAAGCCATGAATGTGCTTTGGTGAAGCCTTTTTTGAGAATGAAGAGACTCTCTTTTGATATATAATTTATTTAAGGCATCTATGTGCTTGAATGCAGAGACATAGTTCAACATTCAATCCACCATCACCATCATTTATCATACTGAAGTCCATTTTAAGGATTTATTCAGAAAGGAAGGTGGCTGACTTTACTTTCTGTTCCATTATTCATGTGTTGTCCTGAGGGGACCTTTGTTTACATTACGTTATGCCTCATGAACAACCTTTGTTCGGAAAAGGAAAACTAAGTGTTTTTATCTTGAACAAACAATGAATAATGCACCATATTTTAGAGCTATCCTAAGGGCACATACTTACTGTAAAACAGAAAACATTAAAAATGCTGAACAAAATGGGTTTCTGCAAGAGTTTTAAAATACCTTATCCTCTGAACATAGCTGACTGCAGCCAAAGTCTGATCCATTTTATCTCTTCTTTTAAGTAGGGAGACAATATAAAAGATTACCATTTAAAGGATCTAGCTTTTAGTAAGAGTATCTCCTGTTAGGATTTCCAGGGCTGAAGAGCTGGCTGATCAGTCATTTACTGATGAAAGAAACAGGGGCATGTTCTCTGCTGTCATGCAGCTTACAACATTGAATCTTAAAAAACTTCCCTGCATTGCGTACACTTGAACTGTTCATATTTTCACCATTCACCTTCAGTTCCTGCTCCATTGATTCATTTGTCATCGATCATTTACTAACTGTGAGGGACAAGAAATGATTTTCTTTACCACTGTGCTCTGTCAGAAATTATATTCTAAAGCCAGCTGTTAGGTTTTCCTACTTGGTTGTTAAACAGATCCCAGTGACAACAGAGTAAAAGTGTATAACACAGTAAAAAGATGACTATCCTTTTGGTTCTACATGGTGAGGGATTGTATGAGCAAAATTTGTTCAACACAGATGGATGTCCTTCCTTCCTTCCTTCCTTCCTTCCTTCCTGCCTTCCTGCCTTCCTGCCTTCCTGCCTTCCTGCCTTCCTTCCTGCCTCCCTCCTCCCTCTCTCTCTCCTCCCTCCCTCCCTCCCTCCCTCTCTCTCTCCCTCCCTCCCTCCCTCCCTCCCTTCCTCCCTTCCTCCCTCCCTTCTTTGTTTTTCTTTCAATGCTGTCTCCCTTGAAAAAAGAATGTCAGGACATGAAGGACATGGAGTTCCTGGTGGGTCACCATGAGCCAGCAGTGTGCCTTTCTGGTGAAGACCAGAGCTCCCTGAGCTGCATTAGGAAGAGCATTACCAGCAGTTCACGGGAGGTGATTCTCTCTACTCAGCCCTGGTGACACACATGTGAAGTGCTGGGCCCATGTCTGTGCTCCCCTGCTCAAGAGAGACTTGGACATACTGAAGTATGTCCAGGGAATGTTCATGAAGAAGCTTCAGGGGGTGGAGCAGCTCTCCCTTTTTTACATCTTTTTGGGAAGGACAGTGCTATAAAGGTTTACAACTTACAGAAAAAGAGTACTAGTGTTGCAAGAAGCAAATAGCTTTTAAGTTTTAACAAAGAGAATTTGATTTTTGAGACATTTAGTGAGAAAAAGCTTTCTTCTTTTATATTCATAGGCAATTCAATTGCTGCAAGCAGAAAGTGAGAAAACACAAATTGGAATTAATTTGCTTATTTTTAATAAATGGTGTACCTTAATAATGATCTGTTGGAACAGATTATCAGTGGATGTGGAATATTGTTCTCTCACTTTAGGTCAAGTTTGAGTGGAGAGTCAACACTGGATAAAGATCAAGTTCTACTTGAACCAAATGTTCAAGAAAAAACACTCCTCCTATAGGATTGTTGTATCCTCCTGTAGGGGCTCCTCCTATAGCACCTACAGCAACCAGAACCTGCTTCATCTCCACAACTAAAGCAGAGAAACCACCAACACGAGCCAGCAAGCTGCTATACCTGCTCTGCCCCCCAACTCCTGCTCTACCGTCAGTAGGCAGACATTGAACCCAGGAGGCTCCTTGGACCATTCAGGTCAAGCAGGACAGGGTCTAGCAAATTAAGGCACCAAGTGGGTTAGGAAGTAATGGAAAGTAGGTCAACTGGCTCACTAACTGAAAGGATCTTCCAATACCTAAATGCTAGTTAAGGTATCTTCAGACAGAATCCCATGCTGAAATGTGCGCAGTGTGAAAGCTTGGGTCAAAACCTCACAGTTGTGCTTACTGCCACGGTACAATGACCTTATTATTGGATTTCACCTCCTGCTTTTGTGGTGGTTCAAATATATGCATTTTATTGCAAAGTCTGGGTGGGCCTGGAGCATATATTCAGTCATTTCATCTTAGGTGAGAAACGTTAACTCTTCAGGCTTTTCCTCACTTTTAGCAATGAGCCCACACACTTGTTTTTTGTTTTCCCATTTCTGGATTTTCCTCATTGCTCCAAAATCCTTTTGTTTGTTAACACTGCAAAATGATTTATAAACAGGTGCTTCTGAATCATTTTTGGAGCTTTCTTTAGTAAATATTAAAAAAAAAAATGTAAAAGTTGGCTGAAAGCTTTGCTATACTCTTTTTCTAAAAGCTTGACTCTTCTATTTATAACAGGTAGGCAGCTCATACGCAATGAAGTCAAAATATAACTAAGGTGGTTATGAAAACATAGCTAATAAAGGTGAATTGTTCTTCCTTACAAGTGCTTGAGTCAGCCCCATAAATGCTCCCGCAAACCTGTGCTCACCCATGCTGCCAGGATGCCTATGCTTCATAAAAACTGATGCAATGAAAACTGAATCGACTGCTTTCAAGGATCATTCTGAGAGCTTCATTATTTAATTTTTATTTCAGTCTGGGCTCTGTTGCTTACACAGGAAGTTCACTCGACTTTTAGTGCCTTAAAATATTATAATAACACTACTCAGGTCTTGCAGTTCTGAGTAGTGACTTTATGTGCACAAAGAGACATTCACCACTCTGCAGAGCCCCCGTATTACTTAAATCTTACAAGATTAATATAGATTCACATATTGCATAGAATATTCTGGCCTTTCCCCCCCATGAGCTTCCAACCTTGGGATAAATACTTCACCATGAGGATATATCCTTGAATTGCTAGTACAGTCAAAAAGAGACAAATGTTCTAGAAAGGTCCTTTGCCTTGAACTAATATATGATATAAAGACTATATCTAACAAGTACAGATGCACTGACCCTCTGGGGAACAGGGATGAATAGTTGCAAAGTATTGCCACCTTTAGCCCCAGTCCAGTCTGTCTGTGTTTCAAGCTGTAATACAAATCTCGCGTGATAAATACAACAGCTGTGTTTTTATTTTCCAGGAAGACGCATACAGAGATGGTAATTGCCAAAAAGACTCTTCATAGGAATCTCAAGGAGATTAGCACAGTTGTAAGGCAGTTAGGTCCTCTTTCCATTATCTTGACGACAAACAACCACGTGTAAATTGGTGAAAGTCAGCACAGTCCTCAGGAATTATTTTTGTAAAAGTCCAAGCTTAAATGAAGAGCTATGGGTGAAGGAATCATTTGTACGTGTGACTGAAGTGGCCAAGGCTTCTTCATTGCTTCTGAAAATTGCCCTCCTTCGACGACTGCCCAGTGACTGCTTTAGCTTCTCCTTAAAGAAAGTAGTTGTGAGAGTATAGAGGATGGGGTTCAGGGCACTGTTTATTGGCAGAACAAATATCACTATCCAGGAAGTGACAGTGTCTAGGAAAAAATATGAGATACTTAGTATGCTCTTTTGTAAGAACACTACAGAAGTAAGCATGTCTTTATGTCCTTTTTACTTTGTCTTTCTTTTTTAACTTTATGTCACCTTATGTCATTTTTGAAGAATTCTACCATACATATCATTTTTTACAAGAAAGGGGTTTGAATTCAACGTTGCTCAATGTGTTTTTCATTGAGCTCACCAGGGGTTTTGATGAGATGGAGGAAAAAAAAATGACTTTTTAACAGAGAGTGTCTTTATTTATTTATTTATTTATTTCTACTAGAATTTAATAAAAGCACTAAATGTGAACTGAGGCCCATCTCTCTTTAGGAGAGTATTTAATATAAATCTAAATCCCCTTCAATACAAAATAATATAAAATCAACCTTAGTAATACCTAGTGTTTACATTGCAGTGTTCATCAGTAGGGCTCAAAATACTGTACAAAAGCCACCATCAGAGGGGTGAAGTTACTCGCTCAGAAGGCCATGAACTTTACCATCCTGAATCCCACTCTAGCCATAGTTGTATGTCTGCTGCACATCCTCATGGTGGACATGTTTTATCTTTAACTATCCACCTATAATCACTTTTTTCCTGGTTATGCAAATGGAATTCAGTGCCGCCAGTGAGGCTGAAAAGGTTTTATAATAAAACCATTGTCAATTTACTACATTTCTTTAATGCCTTTCATCTTGTGGGGAATTATTTACCAATTTTCTACAAACATGAGGCATCAATTTTGTAAAATTTTAATGGGAAAGTAGGATGCCTTCATTACAGTGTTATCTGTTAGCAGCTGCCAGGCTAGCAAGACTGCATATAACCAGTGCAATAGTGGAGAGCTATGAAAGCGTGCATCTCTTTACCCTCTCAGGGGCAGTTAGCGGACAGCACGGTCCGTGATGGACTTATGGACTTACTCATACATATTACTGTGAGATTTTGCAGCTGTAGAAGAAAACTTCTTTGCTGGGTAGCCTATTCTTGTTCTCACATACATACATGCATTTAAGGTTATATGTATTTACTTTAAAGTTCAATTTCTGAACCTAGAAGAAGTCAAACATTTTGGACAATACTTCCTCTTCACCCATAGCTTGCTAGAATTCCTCTGGCAGAATTGGTTTACTTTAAACTGAATCTTTACCAAAAGAAATCTCACTCTTAAATAGCATTACCTAGAATTTCCACCTGGAATAAGGAGAGGATTTTAATGACAAAGACAGGAATCCAGCAGATGGCATCAGTGAATACAATAAAAAAAAATCGATTGGCGATGGCAACATCTCTGTGAATGTGACTCCTCATCTCTGATGTCTGAAGGGCCGTTTTTTGAATGGAACAAAACATGCTGACATAGGAAAATACTATGATGACGAAGGCGAGCAGGTTCACACCTGTGGGGAAACAAGATGGAAATCGAATGGCATTGAAATGATGACAATAGCTCCTCTCCCCCCTTTCTCCCACCACTCCTGTTTGATTTTCCTCTATTGCTTGGTTAAAATTTTTATGTTAGGAGCAGCTCCTCAATATTGTCAAGTGTCACACAGCCCGCTCGCATACCACGTGTTCCCATCTGTTACACAGTGAGATGTGAACAAGTTGTAAGAAGTTACTATAGAAACACAGTTAATGCACACAATGGGGGGGCTCATGATTCCACAGAGATCTGATCTCCCGACTAGAAATGCTGCGATAAATCTGCACCAGAAAGCGCCTCCAGGTCTCTAGCATGGTGATGAAAGAACGACATATTCCCCAGCAAAGTGACAAACCACTCTAAAGCGTATGTTCATTTCAGACAGCCTTCCTCAGTTCTGTATAAATATCCATCGCAAATTCCTGATGGAAGAACATGTGCAGAGCAAGCTGTGCAAGTTGGATTTTAATCACACGGTGCTGTGTTGCAGAGCAAGACTTTTAAAAATTCATCAGATGGCAACTCTGCGTATTGGAGTGCTCCAATAAAGAGCTGAAAGCCATCGAAGGAGCCATTTCAGTCAAGATCCCAGCATCTGAAATAGTCACTTGCTCAGAAATATGGATCAAAAAAAAAAAAAAAAAGTCAAAGAATTGAAAAGCATAACATGATCGTTTTATTGATGGGAAATCATTACATGAATTTGATTTGACATATGTATTGCATTTTTTACTTTCTACTCAATATAATTCTAAACAAACTACAGCTTTCATCTTTCAGGATGTAGGTTTTCTGTCTTGAGATTGAGAAATAAAAGGTAAATGTATGTGTATTGGCAAAACAACCTATACAGCTTAGCAAATGCAGGTCACGGAGGAGATCGTTTGGCAGCAGTTTGAATAATTTTCAGTCTTTGCTGTGAGCGAGTGCTCAAGCTGAGCATAACCAGTTCATACATATTTCAGACTGAAGTTTCTGGTTTTATTCTGTTTCTTTCAAGTTTGTTTTATATACATATATTTAATCATTATTTGTTGCCAGTATAATGCACATACAGCTATACTTTTAAAGTTTCATCCCGTGTTATTTATATCATCACAGTTTCCTGTGATGCAGTGAAAACGATGCTGAGGAGTCATTGAAGGTTGCTGATGTTACAGATTTATCAAAATGAAAAGGTTTCAAACTAAAATATAGTTAAGTAATTGCATGATCTCACTGTTATTACCCAAATTCCTATTTCCTTCTATGTCTTCTCCTCTTCTGTGTTACATTCACATGTGTTTTGTTAAAAATAGGTGCTAAACTCTTCAGGTAACAGACCCTTAAGAGTGCAGCCAGCACATGAGGCTCTGGTCCTCTTGTGTGCCTTTAGAAACTGTTATAACATGAACATTAATGGTGTACTGAAAAGTGCATCTACCAGTGAGTATTCATTAGGTATTTTTTCTAGTAAAATCATATTAATCAGTAATTATGACACGTTAAAAAATAAACTTACCAAGAAAAATACTAAGGGAATACCTGTTGCCTCCAATTTCTTCCATTCGATCAGAATTCAGTGGGAAACAAACTCCATTTTTCCCATAATAATTTCCAAAAAAGTCCACATCCCAGAATGGGATTATTGCTATGACAAATCCAGCAATCCATATGGATATAAGAATCACTATTGTCTTCTGCTTTCCAGGGCGGATATTACTGAAGGGAAAGACAATCACTAAATACTTTTCCAAGGTCAGATATGTCAACAATAGGACTGAGACCTCTGTAGATAGCATGGCGATGAACCCCATGATATGACACGGTAAACTTTCCATCCACAGCACAGCATATTTTTTATACTGTCCACGGTATTTAACATCAAAAACTCCAATGAAGAACAAATACACCCCCATTAGACAATCAGCACCTATTTAAGAAACAGATTTCATAGTTTACTGAAAATAGCAACGAAATACTTTATGTATATCATACTTCTGTGCTTAGCCAAACTCTAGCTGGCATACAAAAATGATTTAACCCAGTGAGAATTCACTGCTGATAACTCATGTGATATGGGGCTATGAGCCTCCTGGTCACAAATGAGTGGAAGTTCCGTTGGGGATCCCACAGGCGCATATGCAAGGACCTTGGGTCAAACTCCTTGGCTGTAGCCAGCATGGTGGCACAGCAATGTTTGGGCACTGATCAGGGTCCAGATAGAGCTGTGGCAGAGTTTCAGCCAGGAGCAAGCTACAAGTGTCCCAGGGAGAGCGTGGAAGACTTGACAGGTCTACGGCACTACACAACAGTGTAATGACACCATGTAATAAATGACACTGTTATAAAAAATACACAGATGATTTCTGACATCTTGCCAGGGATTCACCTCTTCTAATTTTACACATCCACAATATGTATCTACCTACAGTATCTATCTAATTAGAATTAGGCAAATTGCACAATCCATTGACTATAACAAGATCTCAAAGTGACTAGTTCATAGACATCTGCACTGTAACCATCGTAAGTCAGGCAAGATAAAATCTTTCATGTGTGAAGGTAACGTAGTCACAAAGCAGAGTTTATAGGCTTGGCTAACTTGAACAAAGAGATGGCAAGCAATAATAGGTCCTGTATGATTTTAAAGGGTTAACCACCAGGAAATAGCATCACCCTATTGCACCATAAATTTCAAGGAAGTAGACTTGGCCGCAGAAAGTCTGAAGTCAGTATCCCATTTCTATTGGCTCCAGGGTTCTTAATTTGGGAAGGGACTGCTGGACAACATATGGTGCAATTGTTTGGAAGTAATCACTTTTTCTGAGTTGTGAAATATTTCAAAAATAGTAGAAACACTTATTATTTCTGGTGCCAAAAAAGGGCATATGATGATCACAGAATAATTCAGATAGGAAGTAGTCTACCACTAGCTGGTTTGTTCATAATCTTTAATACAGAATGAAAAGTAGCAAATAATAAAGTAAAATGTTTAAGTTTCATAGGTTCTTTGTACACATCTTGAATATCTAAAATCAAGGAACTGAAAGACCTTAGCTATTTCCTGGCATTCACTTTCATTTAGAATATTGGAAAATAGTGCAAAAATAGATAATGCATAATTTTCAAAAATGCATTGAAACTAGTATATTCACTTATATTTGTGCCCAGAATGCAAACTGAAATTACTGAGGCATACTTAATGCTATACATAGTTTATAAAGTAGTATATACAGTACTGTATTAACTATACAGTAGTATATTATTTTTATATATTATATCCATCATATATATACAGTATATTATTTTATATATATATTGACTGTACTAATATACTAATCTATTTATTATGAATACCTTTAATGCATACTTACAACACAAAATTTTGATGGACATGGCATGTGTCTCATTTTCTGCTTTGATAAATGATCTCATTCCAATGACAAGAAGATTTCCAAAGCATGTAACACAAGCTATGACCCACACAAATACTCGCAGAACATTGTTAGCTAAGAGATCTTCAAAAGATGAAATCCCATCTGTTAGCGGCGTGCATATTCGCACATGGAGTGCATAGGAGCAGTAGTGAAACTTTTTGAAGTAACTGAAAAGGAAAGAAATTACCACGTAATGTGGGTTAAACACAAGTCACAGCTCCATACCAGTTATGCAGTTATGTGCCCTTTGTTCATATATGACTTGAGAGGAATGGTCAGAGCAGATAGATTTGTTGTTTTCACAAACCTTTGAAGGACTTTGCTAATCTTTTTTTAATTTAATTTTATTTTATTTTTTTGTTAGTGTGCAGGTAGTTGCTGCCCATGAAAAGGTGCTTGAGAAGCAGATCTTCTACTGTTCCTTGGCAGAAGGATTTTGCCTGCATTAACAGATCATGAAATATCTGTGGAATGACTTAAATTTGGTAATGAACATTTAAGGATCTCAGCATATCAGATCATAAACATACCAGTTCCTTGACCATTCATTATTCATATAAATATTTCTCTATTTCAGTGTCAGTGCTTTCATAAAGAAGGCCTGTAGGACAGGCCACAAAGGCTCTAACAGAGTAAAGCCTGCAAGGACACGGTTGTTTTGAATTGCATCCTTACAGCCTACTGGCTTCTGGAAGATTTAAAAATATGTTCCAGTGTTTTCTGAATACTGGATACAAAAATGTTTAAAGTTAAACCTGTCCATAGGTGATGTTTCTTTTTATATTGAAGAAATACTGCACAGTGACTCAGTGTTAAAGAAACAAAAATATCAAAAATCAAACCCAGTTCTTGTATTTATCAGTAATTCAAAATCTTCCCATTTTATTTGTGAAACGATACTGATGAATAAAGAACAAGAATATCAAATATAAAAACTAGAAGGATAGATTTGCAAATGAAATTCTAACATGATTGAATTGTGACTTGTATGAACAATGGTTTATGAAAATTTCTCATAAAGAAGGACACTTTAAATATTTAAAGAGACACAGGCATTTCAGTATACACATAGAAGTGTGATGTTCCTGAAGCTGTTTGCCTCAAATCAGGGATAGTAGTTTAAAGGCACCCGGTGTTTCTGGCATCTAGCTGTGACATATTGTGAAGAGAAAAGGCATGTTTTATGATACCAAGATAAAATGGTTGTATGGCACACATTCTATCTTCTTTATCAACATATATGGCTTTTACTCATGTTCAAAATATAATTATTTTTCTGTTTCCTGACTCAGTTCCCAGTTTTGATGCTCCTGAATGACATATTCTACTTCTGCCTCCTAAGCTTAAGGCTACAGGAACTCCCAAGTAAGCAACTAGTTTCATTTATTCAATTTCAGCCAGAAAAAGAAGTGTTAGGGGCAGAAAAAGAACTGGTGTGACACAATTTAGAAATGAGATAACTAAATGAGAAGCCTGTTTCCTTTCTCTGTTTAAAATACTAAATCTATTTTTTTTCCAGGAATTGGGCTCCCTGTTGAAGTAACTTGGAAACGCAACTTGGGATGGTTTTAGACATTTTTGCATGAACTAAAACCCACGTTATTATTCTTTCTTTTATTTTGCATACATACATGTGGGAGAGGTTCTTCATATGCTGGAACATTCTTGCATTTATATTCGGAATCTCAATCATTTCCAGGTCTCTGTAAAATATGTAAATATGTAAATGTTATGATCTGTAAATTAATTATATGCAATAGGGTTTTCTGTAGTTATCAACATTAGAATTACACAAGCGAGCATTTTCTTAAACCAAAGACCTTAAAGAAACAATTTTATGGCAAAATCCTGACTGTATTCAGTAAGAATGATCCTACTACTGTTCATCACAGAGCTTTTTACTGGAAGATTGTGCCATCAGGATATACATTTAACCTGAGCTCTCTGTGTAGCTGGGCCATTTGACAACCGATGTACAAGAAGTGACTTGCTGATAGAGGTTTTTGTTCCTTTCCTTGGGTGCTAAGCTCAGCTGCTCACAGCAGTGCAATTTAAAGCCTTATTATTACAAACATTGGCCAAAGGGCCTTCCGATCAACAAAGGAGTCAGAGACCTGGAAACATTTAAGAAGAGGCAGAAATAGAAGACAGCTTCTGCTATAAGAATCAGAAGAAGAGAGGAAGAAATAACACAAGAAGGTAAAATGTGTAATTCTCTCAGCTTTTCCTTGGGGAAGGGGGAATTCCCCTCTGTTATTCAGAATAACATTGCCCTGCAAGTTTTTGATAAGAAATTCAAGGTAGTGGGAGGTAGCTGTGGGCCAGCTGAGGAACAACAAGGACTCTAAAGATCTTTTGCGTCTGGATTACTAGAAGCAGCAGCTGTGGACAGTACAGACAGGCCTCCCCTTGGAAGGAAAGGCAGTCACAGGGACAGGCTAGCAGCTCACAGAAGCTGGATATTTTGTCACATTTTTGGAGTGCCTGGCAGAGATGGCTTGCACAAACCACAGCTACTAGCTGCCCAGCAGCAGAAGCTGCAGCAGGGAATGATTCAAGCAATGGTGTGTACAGCTTGAAGGACAAATCACTAGAGTGTGTGTTTGCAGGTGAGGACCTGGTCCTTCTCCCACTTGCCACCCAAAGTGCTAAGATGATTTTTTTTTTTTTAATTTTATTGTTTGAGTAGGTTCAGGTGCCTGTGTTGGGTTTTGTTTCACCTGACATCAGGCCTCCACACTGTAGTTAAGGCTGGAGCTAAGTCTCCCTCAGACTCAGAAGGGAGACTCTTGTCCTGCAAGGCTTCTTTTCGTCTGCTGACTGTAGAGGGAGCCTACCAGAGAAGAAGTCTTTAAAAAATAAACTACAAATAAAATGTATCCAAACATTTAACATTAGAAAATAGTAGTTTGAATAACCGGGCAGCCATCCGCATTACGTCTGCACTGGTAAAATGAAGAGGGACAAGACCCAGGCATGGTCCATTGGTCTAGTGGTCCATTCTGCCCAGCTGTTCTGGCCCTTGTGAGCTAGCATTGCCCAGGGTGATGCTGAGCAGAGCCTAAGGAGAGCAGGTTATGAGCCACTCACCATTTAGACAAAGAAACACCCACCCACCTTCTGACATGGTATGGTTCAACGGGACTTGCTGACTAGAGAGGGCACATACCCCATACAGGAGGGAAGATGATATTAAAAATCAGTAAAAATAAAATGCCAGTATAGTATTTTCTATTACATATATGCAAGCAAAACCAGTACTAAGGTGCATTCAGCTCCTTAAAAATCCTAATGGTGGCAGAGCCCTGAAAAAACACTTTGTATACTGAATATATTCACAAAGCATTTCCTGAAGCATCTGAAAGCAAAGCTTCATTCTGCAGCATCCCAATAGACTTTCAGTGTACAGATGCAGTATCAGGAGGACCTATGCAGGAGAGTTAGCAAGCCCAGCAGGGCCAGAAGCAGTGAGAGAAGTTCATTATTTCACACTTTTGGCTAAAACGGAAAAACAAAAGAAGCAATTGGAATGGGTTGTTGATTAGCTGTGATTTGAACAGTAAGACAGTCTCCTGACATAGGCAAAGCAAACTAACTTTATGCAGCTGTCAGAGACGAAAATGCTAATGGAAACCTGCCATGCTGTACGAGTCCATTGCACGATGCATGCGCTGCAGGTACTGGTGTACTTGGACTGCAGCTTACCATTTTCACCAGAGGATTCAGCTGAAATTCTTTTTGGTTCATATTCAAGCCCAAGCTCAGTGGCATTATTCCCCCCCCCAAGATCTGAAACTTTAAAAACTCTCTCTCTCTCTTTTTTTTTTTTTGGATTATACACTGTCTATCCCATGAAGTAAAATGCCTGTCATCCTGTCAGCAAGTCTTGTGGAAAAATGAATGCGTAGTGAGAGCACTTTGTTCTGGTTAATTCTAACCCAGTCGGATTTTTGGGAGACTGACATTATGTCTGTCTTACATTCTTTGTTCCCGTACTGCATGTTCTGAGTTGAAAACGCAGATCAGACAATCATTTTGACAGGCAGGCAGGTGGTACTGTTACATTGGCAGCAACATATCTATCACGGTTAATGTGCTCTCAGATTGAAATAACTACACTTTTCCCAGCTGGTCAAGGTTTATATAGCAGCAGAGCATGTCTCTGTCCATATTTCAAAACAATGTCCTCTGTTAAGGTTACTGTCTCGTCCCTGTGGTGGTTTATGGACTGGAATATTGATATTAAGTTATACTTACTGCATTTAGTTCTGTGAGTAATAGTGGTACCAAGGGCTGTATTGCACTTCACAAAGAACCTCAAAGGAAGTTATTCTGGCACAGCTCCCACATGATAGACTCCCTTATCCACAAAAAAAGCACTTCACATGCCCTGGAGACACCTGTTTGAGATGCCCATGAAGAAATGGCTAATATGGCACAAGACCTACGAGAGTCCTGTGGCCTTCTGGAGTAGGAGGTGACAACCAGGAGGGGTAGATAGATATCCAAGGGCATCTCCAATGACACCAAAGTCCTACACGTTGTCAGCTGAATGAGTCAGTGGTGAATACAGTCAGGGGGATCTGGAAAATGGTTTGTCTCAACATAGACCAGATTTTGGTTTGAATTGCTCTTCAGACTAATACTCCATCTGGCATTACTTGACATGTCCTGTGGTATCTGAGACATCCATGTGGGCAGACAGATAGGACACAGGGCCTGCCAAAGACTAAACACTTCCAGGAGTGGCAGCCAGGAAAAATACAGCAGGGATCTCAAAAAGCAGTGGTTTCCTGAATTCTCTTAAATTTTACTCTTACGCTAATGATTTTAGACACATTACCCACCTGTTACCCATGGACACTTCACATATAGGGTCTATGAAGAGGAACTGAGTATTATCCTGTACACTGACTTCAGCACAGTGTTTTTAACTATATGGCACAGGAGAAAATTACCAAACAATGAGTTGCAGGAAAGCTGTCCAGATTCATCATTAGGATTAATTCAGGATGTTTTCCTGAATTAATTTTCTGCTTAACAAAAAATAGTGTGAACTGAAGCTCAGCTATTTAAAAGTAACACCTCGTTCTTCTTCTGGACAGCTTTTTAAGAAAAAGCCATATAGCACAGAATGACAATTTTAAAAAGATGTTACACTCATGTTTTACAACCCTGAATCCGTTAAAATTAGAAGATGTTCTTTTAGATGAGTGAATCTTTGTGAATTAAAGAAGAAATAACAACAATTCTGACTTCAAGCTCTGTGTAAAATACTTAATTAAAAAAAAATGTGGTTTTCAACACATGTCATCAACACAATGAAGTGAGTATTTTATGAACCACCACAAATTAGATTTTATAGAGGTTCTAAAATACTTCTTACAATTTATTTAGGTCCTGATCTGCTCAGGTAGCCTAGCTGTGCTTGTTGTGTAATTTGTTCTTTATTTATGTGTATTTTTTGCTCCTAGCCTCATCATTTGTGAATAGCAGTAAAACTGAGCAAACTGTATGGCTGTAAATCATGCATTTTGGCCTGCTATCTTAGGGTGTTGAGGACTCCTGTAGAAATAGAAAATTAAAGTACATTCAGCATCTAATCGAGTGACAATCAGTGTTCTGCAATTTATGAATATTTCTCCTGGAAAGAAACGATATTATTTAGCGTATTATGCTAGTAAAATATTTCTGGTTTTACTTACAATGACTGAAGCTGCTGAAGGCTTTCAAAGTGATCCTCTGAGAGGTGAGAAAGTGGATTGAAAGACAGATTCCTAAAAGAAACAGAAACTGTTCCTAACTTTAGTAAAAAAAAAAAAAAAAAAAAAAAAAAAAAAAAAAAAAGACAAAATAAACTATTACATTTAAGTTCAGTTGGGAATTCTCATTTATAACTTACAGCTTTTGTAAATACTTCAGGTCTTTGAAAATATAACGTGGCAATTCTGTAATCCTGTTGCTGGACAGATCCCTTCAAGAAACAGGGAGAACAAGAGAAATCAGATTCATCCCCAATATTCCACTATCCATTTCAATATACAAACTTTAAAAACTCGAAGACACAGATTTCCTTCTTTTCATAGTTGAGGAGGCACACTACCTTGCTTAAAAGTCTAATAGCAGCAAAATTATCTTTTATAATTTCTTTGTTCATCCAATATTTCCTTGCTCTAATTTTATCCATAAGTCACTTTGAAGCCAGTCAGTACAGGCACTGATGTTTGGCAATTGCTAAACATGGATCATTTTAGCTCTGATTCATCATACCTCATTCAGCTGAGGTATCTAATTTGGGAACCTGGTTGCCTGAGGGTCTCTGTATAATTTATGAACTTAATCATTGCCGAGAGGTGAGATGAATCAAGGCCTAATTACATAGATGTGAAGCTTTCACATTTAATATAGGTAGAGCGTGGAAAAAACAAAGCAAAATAAATACAAATCCCATGGTAAAGACTGTTTTTGGTGAACAAACTATTTGTTTCATGGAGTTTCCACCATGCCAGATCAGTGTCTTTAACAAATGATTCTAGTTGCTGTTCTCTTCCAACAGCCTTTAGCAGCCCGTTTCAATCACTCGCATCTTTCTAGCCACTGGTGGTTTTCCTTCCAGCTTTCCCTTCTCTTTTTGGCTTCTGCTCCTTCTGCAGCCATTCTCTGTCCCTGCCTAAACACACCATGCCAGATAACGAGGTAGCCAAGCCCCAGATGCAGCGTGGTGCTGCTGCATGCAAGTGAGCCTGATGCATCCGTGCTCATCCTTGGGGGAAGTGGCAGACTAGCATCTAAAAGTAGCTTAAAATCTTAAAGCTAAAGGGAGGAGGCTGGTCCACCTCTATAAAGCAGCCGTTGTGTCCCATTTATTTTTCTGTAGAGTATACAGGGGATAGAGAGACCCTCAGAGTGATCCAAAGAGACTCAGAAATGCTGTTGGCTCCAGAAGACCCAGGCAGAGTTTCCAGGAGGGGAAGGAACATGATGGTCATTTGGATACAGGGGGATCTTGTTTTTTAGCCCATACATTACAAACTGTGCCTGCTGCAAATCCCAGGAAGCCTCACAATCAGAGGTATCAGGTTCTCCTTCCCCATGGTGCTGCCTAAGGCACTACACACAGCTCCCTCTTGCTGGCCTCTTCCTGGCCTCCAGCCCTTGCTTCTGCATGGCCTGCTGGCCCACCTTTAGCAGGAAAGGGACAACACACTCACAGATGACAGGCATTACTGCTCACACTCTATCATTTAAAAATAGACTGTAAAAAGCTCACAATTCCCCCAAATCTTTTAATGAGGAAAAGGTATATGCCGGCACAAAGTGAAGTTGATTTCCACGAAGAATCCTGTAAAGGAAAATATGTATTAGCCTAAATACCTAATGATTCAATTTAATACACAGGGCTAATTTTGTGTTTCTGTGTCACTACCTGGCTTTCTATTTTTTCAGTTGTATTAGACCTTCCATAGGACCCTGGCTAATTTTTACAAGCTGTATAAGTTGCAAGGTATGTTGTGGTCACTGCAAAACAAACCTACACAAGGCTAAAGAGTTAGTTAAGTAAAACTGTCCTTAGCACTAATTAAAAGCAAGCAATTAGCTACGTAAGAGAGCAACATGAAATTTTATTTGATTGAAAGCTCTGGGATTTGCTGTCCAGACAGAAAAGTGACATATTCAAATTTAGGTGTGTTGTTTTTGTTTTTTCCTTTTGCTCTCACTGGGTTTCATACCATCCCACTGCAGGGAATTCTCTTTCCTCACTGGTAAGACACCACACCAAGTAGGACAAGGAATGCTTCATATTTCTGAATCTTTACATGTTTTTCTTCATGATCCTCCTTCAGATCCCCCTTCAGATTCTGTTTTTCCTTTCCTCTGTATTACATGAACTATAGCTGAATATGAAAAAAGTTAGAATGTGCATTATTGTTGTATACAAAAATATTTAATTTTATCAGCAATGATATTTTTTGCTTATCCCCTGCATGGGAATATGCCAGTCTGAAGGAGGAGTGAATTCAGCAAGAAAAAACATCTGCAGGTTGAGATTCAGGCATACTGTATTATGTCTGCTTTGTGATCAGACTGCGAGTCCCGGGACTTCATGGAGTTTGAAAAGCCTGGTACTCATGATCTGCTCACAAGGCAGAAAGCATATAGTGTGCTTATTTCTTATTCTTTTTGTTGAAACAAGTGATATCATGACAATTGCCAAAATGCTCCATGTGACTATGCTTACAATAATTCATTTAATGGTAAAGAATACCTCCCTGACAAAAGCACAACTGTCCTGATTAGGCTTTATATATTGAGACAAATACTGTGTTGAGAACTGAGTCACACATATTCAAAAGGTTTTTATTGCTTTGTTTTTATGTCTTTTACTTACAATACTGTGAGCGCATCACATTCTAGGAAGGTGGTATTAGTTAAGGTCTTAATACGATTGCCTTCAAAATCCCTAAATAACAATAAGGAAACTGTTATTCATGAGTTGTAGAATGATTTTGCAGGAGGGAGTACAAGCTCTGGCATAATCTCCTTTTTATGTCCCTCCTTTATTTCTTCCAAAATTAACCCTAATTTATTACCTAGATCTAAATATGAATGTAAATGTCAAAAAAAAAAAAAAAAAAAAAAAAAAAAAAAAAAAAAAAGCAAAGTATAGCCCTTTCTTTGTTGTGATTTTATCTTTATTTATGGCCCAGCTCAACAACCCTTTCAGCAATAGTAAAGTAATACATTTTCATTTCTCATATGTAGCCTGTATACCAGAATAAATAGAGGCCACTAGGTGGAGGTTTTACATCTAATTGCAACGTATGTCTATTTTATCCTAAGTTATGCTTAGGGTAAACATATTCACAATAACTTACTTCATTTTCTTTGGTAAACTGAAGTGAAAGACAGAATTTTGTTAAGCTCATGAGAGTCATGAGAACAAGAAGCAGCTCTAAAAGTTTATGTTGGCAGAGGACTGTGGTATCTTTCAGATAGGCATTTGAGACAACATGAGGTTCAACACTGGCAAAGGCTCTACTGTTTTTAGAATGTCACACCTGGCTTGGACTAACAGAATAAAAAAATGATGCATTTTTGTCTTCACAGAAAATGATATAATAATTTATCAAAGGAAACTTTCACATGATTTACTTACATCCAGTTAATAAGAGGCATTTGACTACAGATCTTCTTAGGAAGAGTCTCAAGTGAATTGTTTATCATTGATCTTCATAAATTAAAACATGGTTAGAAAACAAGATGTTTTATCATACTTCACAGCAAAATATGTAAGTGTAAGAAAGATATGCAAATGTAAACTTTTGAGAAAATTCCAAGATTAGGTTAGTTACATTGCTTTAAAACTTAAGGCAAATTTAGATTTTACAGAACTACAGAAAATAAAAAGAAAAAAAAAGAGAAAAAAAGAGTAAGTTGCCAGTAATAAAACATGTTTAGTATCAGAAAAATAATTGCTAGTTCTTAATATTTTTTTTCTTTAATAAGCAATGGATATATTGACTGACTGAGAAATATGCTGAGTCATATTGATTTGATCAACCCACCCCCCACCATCCCGTAAAAAAATAACCAAGAACAAACCAACCAACAAACAAAACCATGTGTCCATTAAAAAAGTTAAATCCTCACTACTGGTATTGTAGGTTTTCCACACGTGCTCTGACCTTTCTCAAGCTCTTTCCCATGGGAGCTGGTAAGGGTACGGAGGATAAGGGTAGGGCGGTATTTCAATTCTCCAAGTTACTAATGCCAGCTTTGGTGGCCGCAGCTGCCTATGAGGAGCTTAGCTGAGACACTTGAGTCATTGACTAATTAAAGATGCAAAGTTTTTCATTTTCTCCGCCCTGAGCCAAGGGACTAGTAGCAAAAAAATGCATTTTCCACTAGCAAAACTAAATGATTTATTTCCCTGGATACTAATAAAAACAGCTGCTATGTTTTATGAGAAACTGAGATTGTACTTCTCAGGTGCTGATTTACTTGCTGAGGGTGGTGGAAGGAGTTTATAGGATATCATTTCTCCTTCCTGTGCACTGTAATCTCTGTCTGAAATGGAGTTTCTGTTATAGTCATCACAGTGGGATCTGCATGGTGAATTATCTCAATACCTAGATACTCTTCATTTTCTAAAAGGAGAGGCTAGGTTTCTCCAGGTTGTACTCAAGAATTTTCAGTTTAGATCATGAGTTTCTTATAGGTGTTCAGGGAAAAGAGATATGATCCTGAACAGTTTTACAACTTCAAGAATGTGCTTTAGTTTTAACTGAAACATAATTAGGGTGGTCCTAGCGTGAAAAATGCTTGTGAGAAATCCACATTTGAATCTAGAATAGGTAAGTATTGGGAGTTGGCAAGCGTGACTCCTTCATGAAGGATATGCTTGAAATCTTGGGAAAATGAAGGAATTTGGAGGAAAAAACCCAAAAAGATAGAAGGGAAACTACTTGGGTATTGAACAATATCAATATGAAAATGTGTAAGAGCAATACTCACAGAAAAAACAAAGACTTTAGGCCAGTAAATAACTGCTGTGAAATTTTCGCTATTGGGTTATAATCCAGAATTCTGGAAAGAAAGAATAGTTTTTTGTTTTTTTTCTTTCTACATCAGTGGTCCTTGTAAGGAAACAGCAAAAAGAAGGACAAATTGAGCAAACCACAAGGAAGCTTCTTGTCTGCAATTCCAGAATAACTAGGCCTAGAAAATGGACCCAGAATAACTAGACTTCCAAAAACTGAAATGTAGTCTTTGTAACAACAATAATGAGTTGCAGGCTGTAATCTTTCACAATATTTTTGTACAGAATGCTATGTACAAACATAGATTTACTGCTTTGTTTCTTTCCTTTTAGACCGAAGCCAGATATGCATACGTTGCTAGAAATGAATAATACTTTTACAGACAAGGAGAAAATGGGTACTCACAGCCATTTCAGTTTGTGTAGATCTCTGAATACCCCAGGTTTCAAGCTGGTGATGCAGTTATGGCTGAGATACCTGTTGACAAAGAGTATAACGCTGGAACTAAAATAATGCTATCTAAAACCTGGTAGACTAATTTTAAAGAGAGGAAGCCAAAAACATTCAGACATGATGAGAGCAACCAGAAAGATAAACAACTGTGACAGGCAATGCTGGATTTTAAAATGCTGTATTTTAAGGTTACTATCTCATAAAAGGCTGTCTGCTACTGCAAGGGCAATAGCATTTGACTTAATGCTTTTTAATATTTTATATGTGGAATGATGCTTGGTAAAGCATTAAAAACGTGTTTTATGAATAGTTTTGTGCTGCACAGGGGTAGATATGTTTTGCTGTGATGCAATGGACAACTTTTGCCTAGGTCATATACATACACTATTTCAGACCATGCCAGAGATGGTGAAAAAACGCTTTGCATTAATACACATTGATCTGTCAAAATGTCAATAACTGTAGTTTTTTATCCCAAACTTGATAAGAAGCCTGTAAGATTAACATGATTTTCAAAGGCACTGAGATTTTATCAGCTGTTGGAAGTGGTGAGGTACCTGGATTTTGAGAAATACTGTCTAAAATATGACTATAAATACCAACAACTGAATAATTTAGCCAATACGTTTTGTGAAAATCAACTAACGATGCGCTGTCAGGTACACATACCAAATGAAGTTTATAATGTGTGTGTGGTGATAAAGAAAGAAGTTCAGTGATTTGTCTTTGTCCCAGAGTTCAATTAGAGTCACAGTAGGAGTTAAAATATAGGGACTGCTGACTTCTAGCACCTTTCTTAAGCTACTAGAATATGCTGAATTGTGTTTGAATGAGGCTGAAGGGTGGAAGTTTAGATGAAACTTGCCAATTTTTTTGAAGGATGTTTGCTCTGTGATACCCAAGAAACAATGTGTGATATAAAAAGGCAAAACTAGGACACTCACTGCACTCACAATTTCTGAAGTTTGTAAAGCCCAACGAATGCTTTCCTCGATATTGTCTGGATGCAATTGTTTTGTAGAAATCTGGTACAGAAAAGGTAAGAAAACCAGGATAATCTTATTAACTTATAATTGCAGATGTTTCATAATCCACTATTTATCCCCTTCTGCCATTTAAAGCACACTACTAAATTAATGCCTGATGTAACACCACTGAAGTATTTTCCACCAGAGCAGAACTTTCTAATGACTTCTATGAAGCTATTCAATATGTGGCTGTGTCATTCTCATTTCTTGATTATTTTTTTGGAATAGAACATCATAGGGTATAAAAAGAAGGTGCAAAATAGAAAGCACTGGAGGCTGGAGAGAAAAGCCGATACTGTTCGAGGCTGCAGGCATATTATTTTGAATTTTATGAAATGTAAAAAATAGTGAGGCCATCCTTCTTGACACTCGTGTTAATGTACATTGAATCTAGTGATGCACCTCTGCTGAAAATTAGTGGCATATATATTTTGTTTATATAAAATTGGTTAGCACCCTGCCCACTCTTCAAATTATACAGGCCTTTCCCATGGAAAGGCAATTCTTGAAGGCTGCTAATCTCTTCTGGATGGATGGTGGTTTGAGCTGTCATTAGGAATTATCTAGCAAAAGGCATACACTATCCAATCCAAAACAAAAGGTGAGCTCAAATATTGTGTATGTATGGTTTTTTTTTTGTTTGTTTGTTTTTAATGAGGTTTTATCATATGTCTGTCATATGAATTTTTACCCTTATATTTGTCCGTTTTCTCATGTAGACCACATATTTGCTAGCTTTATATGTATACCTTAATCCCATAAGAATTTATCTGAGGGAGATGCCAATTACAGTGCTGACTGATTGATTGATTCTTATTTTTTATTTTTGTTATTAACAACAGCCATATTTAAAAAGGATACAAGTCATTCTACCTCATAATATCCAAATGTCTCCCTTCTTCATAACTCAGTGGAAGGCAGACTGGTTCCTACAGGAACTTGGAGGAAGCTATATTGGAAGCCCTCCAAGTCAAATTCCAATAAGAAGGCCACTTACTATATAAAGAACATGGAAGACACCACCCAGCTTGAAAAAACGTACCAGTGATCTATGAGAGGACTGACTACATAGTAGAACTTGCCATGTGTGCAGCTAATTTCATAATTTGTGTTTGGTTTCCATGGTATTGTGGCATCAAAAAAGAAAGAAAAGGGAAAAATTTAAAAGATGTGTTATTTAACCTTTTAAAACAGTAAGTTGCAGTTTCATCACCAAACGGCAGTAGTGCTTATTTGGCAGATTTATTTTCTGCTTACTTATTTTTCTGTGCCAGGGAGTGAGACCAGATCTCTGTGTATGAAGCTGCCCGCATCTGTGCCTATCCAGCTAGACTGGCAGCCCAGCATGATCAAAACATCAATTTTGAAAGCAAGCGCTGTGCATTACTGTTAAAAAGTGAACACAGAGGTGACTGTGCATTGATTTTATGCATTTCATGCAGTCCTGGACTCATGTAATGCTTTAATAAACTGTCAAGATACTTACATTTTCTTCACCTTTGTGTACTTGCTGAAAACTTCATCTGGAAGAGAATGGATCTGGTTGTGTGCGAGTGACCTAAAAGTAATCAGGAACTGATGTTTAAACACAGGCTCAGAGTCTAAAACAGTCTTTGGGTGCATTGCATTGCATTTCTTAACACTGGGCGCATTACTTTGGGTGCATCACACTGCCTGGGAAGCCTGGTAGCCTCCTCAGCTTCTTTGTCATCCGTCCTCATTGTTTGAATCCCCAGGTGAAGCTTGAGTGCCCTCCCAGGATTAGCTGGGAGGGACAGTTCTCACTTTGATCTCTTTGTAAAGCAAATGCACTTGACCACTTGAACAAGCTAACTGAAAGCCATCCAACTTCTTTACTCAGTTTAAGGATGGCCTCTTCTAAATATTTCCCTTTGCTGATCCAGGCAGATCTTTGGGAATTTCCCATGCTACCAAGGATTCAGCCTTACATACGTTTTCACAGCCTGTAAAACTGGAGCTGGCAAGCTGAAATAGGGAGCTCTGAGTCATCATTAAGAAGCAATAATCCTGAAATTCCTGCTGTGGTAACTTCAGCAATATTTGGTGGGTGCCCATTACCTGAGTGCTGGCTGCACAACCAGTGATCTTTAGTGAGCACCCTGGGGCCCACAGACTTGAAGCAATAGGAATGACAAACCCAAGTGGCATTCAACTCGCCTAATTGTAACGTGGACAGTGCAAAATCCTCTTCTCAGCTAACACCCAAACTCTCTGTAGGGGAGAGAAGTAAACACAGTCTGCGTGCAATTCCTACGACCTGTATTAGATGACTGGTTTACACTGCTGACACACATATATTTTGTCAAATGAATTCCACCCTGAAGTGGACCTTGTAGCCAAACACTCACAGCATTCACTACATACTGGTAAATCCCTAGTAAGTGCCTATAGTGGGCTGCTCTTTTCTGCAGTCTCTGAGTGCAGAGGGCCCACATTTGGTAGTACAGCACTATGCAAAGTGTGTTCAGGCATATCTTCATTTTTAGTACAGCTTTATGTTGGGGAGCAAAAGGGACTCCACTTACAGGACGGTTACATTACTTGAAACGAGTGGGACAGACTTCAGATTAACTCCAGCACATTCCAGTTCTGTTTCCATGCAGCTGCAGCCTTCTGGGTATTGCTGGAGACCTAGGAAAATGAATTACTGAGGGAGTGTCTTACATATATATGTCTTACACCCACCAAGTACTTCTGATCAGATGGGGTGTCACTCTAAGACCCCTTTTTAGAAAGGAATTGGACATTAAGATGTCTAACATGCCTCCCTCCCCAGATTACCTTTGTAAGGTTCACCTGTCAGGAAGGATATAAAAGATGCTGCTGTGCTTCCTAGGACTGCAGTAATTTACACATAATAAACTCAAACACAGGTAAAACATAAGTCAAATTTAAAATCCTATTCTCCGTAAATACAGTACCAGCTGCAATAAGGTTAACTGAAAGACAGGATATACTCTCTCTCTATATAAATATATAGATAACACACAAATGAGGATGTCTGAGAAACTGCTGATACAACAGTTTCCACAGAGAATGCAGATTAGTTAAAGTCACTACAACTCACGGAGAAACTGGATGCTTTGATTTTAGTGCAGACAAGCGGGAACACAGCATCTAAACTTGCTTCTTTCTTGCCACAATGCTGTCCTTGCTTGCTGCAATTAAAGGCTTTTTGGCTGCCCCTCCTTGGCAGTTCTTCTGAAGAGCTGTCTCAGAACTGTACTACTTTGACTAAGCTGGGGCTTTGGGGCTTATGACTCCTCATCAGTAGGCAAGAAAAATATTTTAGAAGGGTTTAATGTAAACCAATTCAAGATTTTTTAATCTTTTTTTTTTTTTTTTTTTAAATGCTTCACAAAGAAACCTTTCTTTTTTCTTTTGTTCCAGAGTGAGATGAAAACAATTATTAGAATTCCAAAAGTTTTCAAAAATTTAATTACTATTTTCCTGCAAGTCTGCAGAGCTGCAACCTGGCACTAACAAGTATGCTCCACACAGCTTCACTCTGCTCTGCCTGGTGTGCGTGCAAAAAGCTCTGGGAAGCCAAAGGAGTTCCCTGAGCTCATCTAAAATTCCAGATATCTCTATAATTATAGTAAATATGTATATGCAGTGAAAAGTCTTAGAAATGTAAAATAGTGTGAGGATACTAATAAGGGTGTTATAGTGCACTTAGGATTAAGTCAGAATGGCAATGAAATGGAAAAAAGCAGCAATTACTTACAGCATTCTTCTGATAAATCCAGATAATTAGGCTTTCCACGAACCATATCAAAGATACTTGCCCATCCACTGTTATCTCCTATAAGAAGTGTTAACATTTGTCATCTATACTTTAAATTCTACATCAACTTTTAATGAAAACCAGAACATTAATACCAGAGAACATGTATTTTGACTGTGGGGTGTATCTGTTTTCTGTCTGTTTTCTGATATGGGATGTAAGCAAAAGTAAATCTTCAAAATGATTGTTTTGATCGTCTTTTTTGTTGATTATGAATATCTATTATAAACCCAAATTAAGAAATCTCATGCAAGTGGAATGGCAGAAGTGCACCAGACTATGACCATGACAGAGAGAAATCTAAAGATGATGTAAAATATTATTAGATGTGTTGACAAAAAAATAAGTGAATGCTAAAATAAAATGCTTAACATAGCAGAGAAACCCATGCTGTAGTACATGGTATAGCATGGAAAGTTACAAATCATTTACAGTGAAAATGTACATGATAATGGGAGTATTTTAGGACAGGAATGAAAACATAGAAAGTGACTCAGTAAAAAACAGGAAGTTTACACCAATTTCAAGTAAATGAATACAAATGGTGACCTCAGATTTCAGACAAACCATGGAAAATAATGAGAACAGATCATGGCTGGAACAGTGAAATGAATAGGCAATTTTACAAGTTATATTGTATTTGAGAGAAAACAAGTTAATGTTCGTATAGCATAGAATTTTTAATAGGTTGGCAGAAGATAGGAATCTCTATTTTATACGAAGAATATCAGTCTTTGGAGCAATCAGTGTTAGTACACCAAGGTGAATTTTGGAGTTGGTAATGGCACTGGAAATGTGCTACATGGAAAGTCACAAATACAAAGGACCCCATTCAAAGATGGTAGTGAGGGGTGGTGGTAAAGAAGAAGGAAAGAGGCACAGGAGGGTGGTTTGGAATACCTAGAAAGAAGAAAAAGAAGTGAAAGTGATGTAAGAACTACACTAGGAAGTAGGTGGGGAGGGAGGATACAAAGCAGATGACAGTAGAGTTGACACATTAGCTTCTGACCCAACATGTTTTAGAGTCTCACAACTTGAATGTGATGTAGAGGGAACCATGCTGCAAAACAGGGATCGTTTCTTAGCCCAAAAAAGGAGATCAGTCTCATTGACCTCACTTCTTCATAGCTCTTTTGGATTGAGAGCAAGCATGGAGATCAATAAGAGGAATGGTGGTATGACCACCACCAAGTCCATATGTGCTCATGCACATATACTGACATATGTATATAACTAAAACTCTTAAAATACTTAAAATCATCTGCTATTGAAAAGCCTTACTGAGTCTGAGAACCCCTATTTATCTGCAGGAGCCCATGCATCCACTTTGAAGGATTCCCCACACAGATGTGCAGTGATTACCCCGTCTCCACAGCAGAGGACTGTGCAGGATTTTCACCACTGGAGTCCGCCTGGGGCATGCCTTTAGTCAGTTGGCATGGTGTCAGCACGCCAGCCGGCATCCTGACCAGCATGGTGTAATTTCCTCATTCACTGAAGAAATTAAAATATTCAGTCACACTAAAAACCCCAGACTTGTCAGGCTTGCAGATCATCTGAAGGCTGTTAGTGATTCCATGTGTATTAGTTGGAGGAACACATCCCACAGCTAGATTTCGTTTCTGCACACTTACAGCTGTTGCTGTACTTACCACAGTTCTCCTCGTCTGCACCATTCTCACAGTCATTTATGCCATCACAGTGAAATGCCCGTGGGAGGCACGTTGTATGATTTCCACATGGAAAATAACCCTTTTGGCAGACCACATCAACCGAAACGCCTTCCATCAAGCAGGACTCTGAGAAAATATGGAAAGACATTTCCTCTAGAGCAGAGTATATAAAAATGATGAAGCTACAACCACTGCATGTGACAGAGCAATTTCATTTTACACTTTGAAGTATGTTATGTGTCATTTTAATTTGTTATAGCATCATCTAGAAATGGATTTCTACAGCTGGAATCTAGGAGAGACATCTAAAAGTGTCTGTTTGCTTTTCTTCTCTCTTTTCCTTTATCTGCTGAACACATTGCTAGCCAAAAAATAAATAATTAAATAAATAAGTAATATGCTTATCAGTATCCTGTCCTGGTAGACTGATTTGTTGATGGTGTGAACATTATGTTGCAAAACATATAAGTGGGTGGACAGGGCAATGGAGTTTTGGTGCTCCTGGTACAGGGAGATGGAAGTCTTATGTGGAGAGAGAATTTCCAGCCAGAGCATGTGGAAAGCCACTTCCCATGCTGAAGGCAGGTAGGCAATAGAGAAGTGTTCACTTGCACATCAGAGAGATGCAACTTGTAAGACTTATTGCACACAACTGCAGTAAAATCTTTGAGCAATTTGCAAGTCAAATTCTGATATGAATCTGCAAAGAGTGGTATCAGATTTATCACTTTACTTTTGAAATATATAGATATATATTTGCAATAATTCAATTAGATTTATAGTCTTGTAAATCACCGTTTCAGACAAGATGTTAAAAGCAAGATAGTAGTTTTTATTTCCTGTATCAGCACACATAACAGAAGACTGCATTTCTGCAGAACATTTACAGGAAATCTGCTATATTATTCCATTACAGCTATGGAGCATTTGCAAAAGCACTTTTTTCTTTTCACAAAGTTTTCAGGAGATTTTATGAAAATCTAATAAAAGAAAACCCTTTTCTTATTAAAAAAAATGCTAAAAAAAAAAGCAGAGTAAACGAAACATAGTATAACACTTTGCATTGTGCAGCTGTTGTTGTTTTTTTTTTTTTTTTTTTAAATTATTTATTTGTTTTTATTATTTAGCAAATTCTTTGAAAAGTGTAATTCAAGTTTGACAAAGCAAATTGGATTATGATCCAATGATGGATCATTGAACTGATGGAGATGCCTGTGGACCCAGCTTGCAAAGGCAGCCATGCTGAATTTGAATTTAGACACACGAGACCCCTAGGGGACTATACGCAAGACTGAAATGAAATACATGGGATGAAATTGCAGGCAGAAATGACTAAAACAAAGTGAGGTAATCCAATTCCTATGAGGCCAATGGACAATTAGGGGCTATATAGCACCAGCACGTATAGAAAGAGCAGAAGTACAGCTAAACAGTGATCTTTAACAAGTGAATATGTTTTAGTTTTATCTAAATAATGCTCTCCTAATGATAGTACTTTTTGTGTGATACAAAGAATTGGGGTTAAGACACAAGGCAAGAGGAGATGAAATATGTAGTCAAGTCCAAGCTGAGACTTGATATCCAATTTCTCTTCATTTTGGAAAAAAATCTCATCAAGATAAGCCTTGCCTTTTGAAGTGAGATACTGCTAACATCCTCTTCTGTGTTGTTTGGAAGACAGAGGAAGAGCTGTAGACTGGTGTTTCTGAAAGCTCTTCCTAGGACCCAAAACATTGATAAAAACAGACTGGTAAAACTGTGCATCTTTCTATGTTACTATTTTGAATAATATTGCAATTAAACTGTGATAGTTTACTGTTTTTATCAAGTTCTTATGCCACTGTCAGTATTTTTTTATCCCATTTTTTCATGTGTCAGATATTGCACAAAAGTAGGACTGGAAAAAGCCTTCTTCTTGTATTCACAGGACAGACAAACATTGTTATGAAGCGTTTTTTTTAAGTTCACATATATGCTCAGTATGGCCTGACATTGTCTTTCCAGGGGACTGAGTTGTGTCCCTGACCTCTCAAGAGAAGCAAAACCGCAGCAGATTACATGTGGGGTGGTAGATGGAAAATTCAGCCTGAGCCTCTCTTCAATCCCAGCATTCAGTTAATTGCTCTCACGGACAAGGAATCAGCTGCTACCCAAACAGAAGGGGCTTCTTCAGTTTTCTCTTTGTCTCTACATTCATTGTAACTTCTCTCAATTTGCTTGTTCAACAAGCATGGTGTATTTACAGCCCTGGTGGATACAGTTGCTCCTTTCCCACTTCCCAGTAAGGCTCAGGATCTGGTGGGCATCGCATCCTCTCTCATCAGTGTCTGCAGTGCTGGATGGAGCAGTTTGCTTAGACTCATGATTTACTACCCCATAGACAGCACTTTGGCTGATGAATAGCTACAGATAAAAGTGGAAGCTTTGCTTTCAAAGCAATAATACCATAAGAGCACTCCTTTGTTCACCATGTGATAAAATTCAATCTTCAAATTTCTGCCTATGATGGAGCTGCTCCTTCTCTGGTTACTAGCAGATTTCCCCCTGTTTCTTGCCATAAATTTCTGAGTGGCACAAATCGACCAAACGATATTGCACATTACTGAGGATCAGCTGGGTTCATGCAATATGTGCACAGTCCTCAAGCATGCTGCTGTTATTCAACGTACTTTAATAGAACAAGTCTATAAATTGATTGCAAACTTAATAGCACAAGCAAAGTACGTTGGCTCAGTAGCTGTGGTTGTAAGAACAGTTTTGTTTAAAGCAGAAAAAACAAACAAACAAAAAAAACAATCTCTGCAAATGTCCATTGCACTAAGACAAGATTTTAGAGGGATAAAATCTTTTTTTTTGGAAGCTCCTTGTTGAACTAACACTGCTTGGAGCTGTTATAATGCACATAATTGAGGCACTTTTCAGGTGACAACAGCCTTTTTGATCCTGTCCTCAGCGCTCTCAGGTCGCTGTGAGAGCAGGCAGACCAGCTTGCTTTACTTAGCTTCAAAGTCACTGAAATCAGATCATTGATTAGGGGCTCAGCTGAAGCTCAGCTATGGTTAAGTTCAGCATTGCTCAGGAAGGAAGAGATGATAAACAACAATGAATCATAAAAACAAAAATGAAACAAAAATGAATCATAAGAACATAGGATTAAAAAAAATAATCAGAAATGGAAACAGAAACTGTTACATTTCTGGATCCTGTTTCAATGTTCCTGTTTCAACACACACTAAAACACACACAAAAATGTGCACAGACCTAAGTTTTCTTAATTATTCTTTTCCACCAATGTTTCTTTCTGGCTGGGAAAAGAAAGAGTTGGTTTTGTACCAAATTTTCCATGGAAAAAAAGTACTCTGTAGATTCAAACCACAGATAAAGAGATACCTGGTGAACTGCAAGAACTTGTGCCATAACATTTTTGAAGTTATGTGCATTGTCCATATTAAACATCGATTTAATGGTCTGAATGGTGAGCAGGATTAAAACAACAGTGCAAATTATAGACCATCATTTGTGATATTTAAAAAAATCTACAAAAGAAAAAAAAAAAGCACTCGTAATCTGTTTTTTCGCATGAATCTAAAACCCGCTTGCTTTAGGGTTCCTGTATTTATTACAGTGACAACCTCTTCATCCACAGTGCTCCACAGGGAAACATCATCCCTGACCTCTCGCTTTGAAGTGAATGGCACCTTTACCAAGTGATTCTTTCTCCTGGTTGAAAAGTGAGTCACACCATAACTTATGTTTTGTAGTTGTGTAACACTTAAAAATGATTAATTGTCACATTTATAATAGCTAGTGGCTTTATTATTATTATTTTTCATATTTTATTGCCAGAACTGAACTGATCACTGGCAAGCATTGGCCCTGTTATTAAGGTCTGGACCGTAACACCGAGAAGCAGTTCCTCACTGAGGAGGTGTTATAGCTGCTCTGAACAGCAGTTAATTAAAAAGAAAATAAAAAAGGTAAATAAAAAGGCTAAACAATCTGGGATTGAATATTTTATCCTTAAATTCATCAAGCATAGAATCACTAGGCAGTGGTATATAAAGTCAGAGCCCACTGTTAGAGATGCCTGTTCTGTCAGTCACACCAGAGGATCCTCCTGGGCTTCCTATCAATTCAGACAGATGAGATGTATTCACGTGTTCACATTTTAATCACTGATGTTTCAGGCACAGCTTGGCTAATTAGCATTAATTACAAAGGCAGGACTCTGATTTGAATATCCCCCTTTCCACCCAGCAGCATGCCAGTTTTGTTTCTCCAACATGCCCAGGATGCTGCACAATTACTTTCCGCAGCTCTTGACATGTAAGGCTTCCTTTTGGCTGGACACCTGGTGTCCCGGTGGCTGCTGGAGAGAGATTTGGGGGAAATAACTACCAAAAAAAAAAAAAAAAAAAAAGGAAAAAAAAGGGGGGGAGCTGTTTGTCGTCAGCCGTTAGAGGGCAGTAAAACACCACCTTTTTAAGCAGCATCGATTTATTCCGCTAAATACGAAGGGCAAACTTTGAAGGTTAACCAGCCATTCAAATACCAGGAGTGTTTGTAATCTAGTGATATTTCCCACTCTTTTAAAGTGGACTCACGTATCTAAGAATTTCAGAGTCTGTAACTAAACAGCCGCTATTCAACACCCATTTTACAGCAATATGGATGTTTTTCCTTTGAGACCTGCTGCAGATGTGGCTTTCCCAGATGTAACTGTATCTTGTGACATTCCCAAAGTTGCTATACTTACTATATACACATTTTTGGCAACATTTCAGAGGAAGGGGCAAGACTGAAAACGTGCGGGGGCACATCAGTCATTCACTTCATATTTCTATACCTCCTGAAACGTAGTGAAGACAAAACACACACCAGAGGAAAGCTCTCTCTGACTCGTATCCCCTTCCCTGCGATGCTTGCTTGTACCTGTGTCACTGTGGACTCGGTCCCTCTCTAGTCTGAACGCTCTGATGCAAAATTGTCTCAGCCCTTATTGTCTATTATGGAGGGGGAGCAGCTGAGAAATAATGACCTTTTAGTAATACAGCCGTTTGCTTGTCTGCTTCTTTATTTATGGAAAAAGCAATTTGAAATAATAGAAGGGATATTAATATTTTTTCTAACTGTCCCAAATAAATAAAGATTTATTTAATGGTGTGTAAATAGGGAAGATAGTAAGGGGGTGGTGGTGGTTGTAATAAGCTACTTCCAACTTTTGTTTCAGCTAATCAGACTTGTGACAATGAAAGCAATATAAGGAATGGAAAGTTGACTCACTAGATGTTTTGTCTTAAAGTCAATTTTGGAAAGATAATGAAAACAACTTTACGTTAAAATAAACATTTTACACTAGCACAATGTTCTTCAGTGATAAGCAAAACAGCAATTTAAAAGATATCTTTAAATAGAGTATTTAATAAAATTCAATACTTTCTAATCCTGCATATTCCACTCCTTTATAACAGGTTGTCTACAGAACAAATAATATATTCTCTCTTACTTGTTTTCCATTTCTAACAGGCTGGCATTTTCTTTTTCTTTTTAATTTATTTTCTTCCTAGTAATGCACTTGCCATTTCATTTTCTTACTTTGATAACACTCTGCATTATTAGAAAAAAAATGCTATTTCATTAAAGAACTTTCCACAAGCTTAAGAATTGCCATTCATGAGCTAATTACAATGAAAACCATTTATTCACTTTCCTACAATACTTCAAGAATTGCTAAGCATAAGAAAACTATTATTATTAAAAATTAATGTGTGTAGGAACTGAAATATTTTAATTTTTGAAAATTTGTTTAAAGGAAAGACTGTAACTTCCACTTGTATATTGTTGCTAAACTAGTGTTTCTAATGAAAAATAAGTTTTCTCATAGAAGCAATATTTTAGGCAATTGTTTCTAAGATTCAACATGCTTGCTTAAATGTATCATTCTATTTTGAATTTGCTTATACTGAAAATATTTGCTTCACTGAATTACCACAAGTTTTGCTTAAATTGGGAAATACCCATGAAAACTTAGTTGCTAAGTTAAATGCTTCCTTTTTTTCACCTAATATGTAGAAAGTGTGCTATGATACAGAGGCGAAGCTTGCTGATCAGAACAATGTTTCATTACATTGGGTATTTTTTGAAAAAGCATGGCTTTATCAATTAGTTTTGTAGCTGATAAATTTAATCAAAATTTAAAGCAACCTGGTTGGGCAATTCAATCGTTTTACAAAATCAGATTTTCTCACCTGCTTTAAACTTAAAATAATAATAAAAACAAAAAAGTGTAACAAAATCATGCAAATGAAAATTCCTTACCGATTCCTCACTTTAAATGAAATTTCTTGTTAATGCGTCCCAAAAGGCACTCAGGCTAATAAAGAATTAAGTGAGAAGTGGTCTTACCTTTGATTCCTAACAGAAGAATGACACAGAGCAGGAACAGCATCCTCGGAGCCCGAAGGGGACGGGACGGGCGAGGGGATGAGTGTGGCCATGGAGCCGTGCTCTGCTCTGGGCCCCTCGCAGCTGCCCTCCTGCAGAGCCCCAGCCAGGATGGGATGCGTGGCACCGAGCATGCTCCCAGCCCCTGCTCCCTCTCACCCACCAGGTTGTCAGCACTTGTCATAAACCATCGCAGACGTCTTGTCTGGCTCCTGGTTTGCCACTGCTTGTGCCTGAGAAAGAGCGCAAGGGATTCCGATTTTACTGCGTTCACAAGTCACTTCTGACAGGGCGATTTCTGGATCCGAGGTGTTTCTTTACATACAAAGTTACTTTTGTAAGGAAAATGAAAATCTCTAAACAGTTTGCTGTTGTCGTATCACAGCTGGGATTACAGAGCAATGATGTTATTCAGATTTTTTAATTACAAAGCCAACTGAAGATTAACACCCAAATGCTTAAACATGACGTTAAACACTGCGCACAGCTGGGCCACTGAAATCAGCCCCTTTGCTGTCTCCAAGGGTGATTTCTCAAAGTTTTTTTCTCAAAGAAAGCTCATTACACTTGTGCCCTAATTATTATTATGAAAAGTTAATATTTTTCTGCCCCGTGTTATGCCTTTATGTGTCCTCAATGAAAACTTTTTTTTTTTTTTATCCCAAAAGAGGATACTACAGACATGTGAAAGATCTTTTCCTACACCACTATCTGTATTTAACATTAAATACGGCAGACACGTTCTTCTAACATTATACATCATTTCATATAAGTTTGCAGTGCATTTAACCAATATACGTGATGAGCAACACTATGTTCTTCCATGCTATATTTTGACTTAAATGGGGAAAATCAATGCAAAAAGACTGTGAAATTATTGATAACTTTTGTCTACAATACTTTGAAATATAACAGCTAACAGGAAGAATGCAAAAATCTTCAGAAAAGGGGACTACAAAAATGTGATGTGTATGGATGGTCTACACCCTACAGTAAAAATTACCCAATGTTAGAGGGCCAAACAGCCATTCACTTCTATGCAAGGCAAAGAACAATTTAAGTGAGGATGGAGACTCGTTCAAGAATGTATTTGACTTCAGCCACCACAATTATCTCAGAAGCATTTACGATCCCAGCCCACGGTGCTCTTTATGTTGAATGTGGGAGGCAAAGGAAGGTGAGAGTGGGATGTGGCACATTTCCACCTGTATTTTGTAGTGCTGTGTAGCACTGTAGAGTTTCTGCAGTTTCTGAAACAGCAGGTGGAAATGTGGACATTTACCAGCATTGAAATGCAGAAGGTGATTGAAGTCAGCATAGGTGGAAAGGCCTAAAGGTGCCTTGCTTGGCACTGTTTGGCTCTGTCTCTGTTTTGCACATCCTATCTTCCCAGGCACTGCCTATTCTAAAAGAAGGGATGGATGGCATTTGGTTTCAGCACATGAAAATTAAAAATATAACAGAGGGTCATGCAGGATTATGTGGGGATCACATGAAACAGTGAAGTGAATGTCATTGCTGGTTGTTGGCATCCCATTCTTAGCAAGTTGTCTGTTCAGGGGACTGAGCTGTGACCAGCTGCAAAGGAGACCTTTCCTGCTTCTCTCTCTGCTTTGGAACTGTGTTAAATTCACATACAGGGGCTCTCATGGGGCCTTCAGTCTGAGGGATGTGTCACAACAGTAGTAGAGATAATGCCCTGCCTGTGCCACAGGTGGGACTGATTAAATCACTAGAAGTCTTTTATATGTCTTTGCTTACCTGTCCTTCCATCAGTGATAAAAATGGCAAATGCCTATTACCAGAGGATAATGGCTGATTTTGCTGTCCTGATGTAGCAGTCTGGGTTACAGCTCAGTGTAGAAGACCCTGGATATATTTATAATAATATAATATAATATAATATAATATAATATAATATAATATAATATAATATATTTAGGGCATGTACTCACTGAGATGAGTTTTTGAGCACTACATTGTACTAGCTAAGTAATGCATCAGGCTAAATGCTGATCTCCACACAGAAATAAGTAGTCTGTGTACAGAGGACTTGCAGAAAACACAGACTTTTTAGGTGTCTTTTTGTATGCCCAGACTCTCATGCCTACAGTTTCTTTTAATGCTATGTAATCTCCCCGTTCCCTTCTCAAAGCCGCTTGGAAGCAAGGAAAAATGCTACCAAGGACCAAAGAGGTCTCTACATCTGAAGAACTGGTGTTCATAGAGGAATGTGAAATAATGATATAGGACTGTGTCCAGGAACACCAGGACTTGACTTTTAAGGTCAGTAGTTCTTGAAATAAAATGTGGATATGTAGGAAAGGTGTAGGCTGAACTCATAAAGAAGTGATGTGCAGAGGAACCCTTATACCACTTGTTGGTCTCTCAAGTGCTACAAGGAGACTCAGCAGCTAGGGCCTCAGTCCTCTCTACTGCCAGCACAGAGGAATGACTACTATGGCTGAAGCCACGCAATGTCCTGAAACAGGCAAATGCAAAAAATGGAGGAGAACAGGAATCCAGAGAAAGTATCATCCATCACCTACCATGTCAACAAAGACAATGCCAGTGCTTGTTTGAGAGTATGGCAAACCAGGGCTCACCTGCAAGAGAGGATGAGCAAAGACAAGGTATAGGGACAAGACTAGAGTAAAGACAATGTGTTGCTCAGGCAGGAGTGGGCTGATAAATACCAGGCAAGGAATTATTTCCAGACAACGAGCTGTGATGTGCTTCTGGAGGTGGAAGTGTGGGAGAGTGCTCAAGAGGATGAGAGATGTCGAGGAAAAGCTTTGGAAGGGTGGTTTCCTGTGAATGTAAGATATTTTGTATTGAATCCCTGAGGCAAATTAAAGATTCCTGTTGAAGAAATGAACCTCCAAAGTGAGAGTTTTACAGAATGAAAATAGAGAATTATGACTATAAGCCAGTCTCCTAACATTTTGGCAACCAGCTAGTGATGTCTGAATGTTGCTAGGCCAGGGCCACTGCTGTTTCTGTAGAGAACAGCTGTATGTTTCTAATGATACTCTATTTGTTGGCTAATTAAAACTGGCATCAGGACAGTGGCTGAACAGTCACAGGGAGAACTTGTTTCTATCCTTGTTTCAATCCTTTGAAAATAGATAACATCTGTTTCCTTTCTTCTCTTCTGCCAAGACATAGGGGACCTCAAACAAGGTCTGCCTGATGTAGGCATCATTGTAGATCATTACGGCCATGGCTGTAATACTGGTGTGGACAAGATAGGACCTTGGTTTGTGCAGGTTTTCTAGCTTACTAGACCCAGAAAATTGTGCTCTTTTTTTTTTTTTTTTTTTTTTTCTCATTTAACTCTGTTAGTATATTTTTTATATAACTTGTTCATCATGTTCTTGCGATGTAACCAGAGTTGGCTGAAGTTTTTGAAGAGAAAGCATCAAAAATATTGATTTTGTTTCCTCAGATTTTTATCAGCTGCACATTGATACAACTTAACTGCTGTCAGGACATCTTTCTTGGCTCCAGGAGAAAAAATGTTACTGATGTTGGAAAAGAGGCCAATGCAAACTAAAAATCCTTTTTGGCCTCAATCTTGCTGTGATTTCCAAAGCTTCCCTTATGCCTGTATCCTGAGATTCCACTGAGCAGCAGACAGACTCAGGCAACATCCGAAGGCTATAAAGCATGACCAGCACCATTAAGGAGCAGAGCCTTGGAATGGCCCAGAAGTGTTTTCGGGTTAAAGGACGGCCAACTACCTGAGAGGAAAACCAAACTCATATGATTTCTCCTGCTCTCTCATTTCTTATTGGAAAGTACCAATATTTGTCATATTTCCTTCAGTTTTTCTGGGCCTATTCAAATTATTGAGTTGCCATCTGGTTACTCAGCTGTTCTCACTGGATGAACCAAATAAATGGGGTTTAGCACCAGATATTCAATACTCTTTTCGGTACTTCACTTCCAGGAATTTTTGACATCTATAATTTATTTGACATTTTTCTTCTGGCTTATCTCATCAACTTTTTTCCCCCTCAACATTTTCAATATGCCAGCAGTCTTGCAGGCAATGCCTCGTGATTATTTTCCCAGGGAACTATAACCTTTTGGAAGAAAACATATTTTACCTGTAGTTAAAATCCTACCTGGCAATGTCCATAATGTGGAGCTTTCTGAGCTGATGAACACACTATCAGGTCAACTTTCACTGCATAAAAGACATGGCAAGCTGCTGTCATCGAGGTACTTTTCTTGCCCACATACTGCAAGACTGGCCCAAGGCAGGCTATGAGATGATGACTGTAGTGGTATAGTATTTTAATAACCCTTTCCATGTGCAGTGAGAGTCATTGTTCTGTTTTGATGCTTCACAGTAGCCCGAGAAATGTTCGCTTAAAACTTTGACTGTTTGCTCTGTTCAATTGTAGCTGTATTTAGCCAACATTAAGTTGTTTACAACCCAAAATATAGAATTGTTTAAGTAAATGGGAAAGTAGAATAAAACAGTGATGAAAATGATGTAAATTATGAGTGATTTCTGAGGAAGAAAATTTTAATTCTCGTTCATCTTCTTCAGGAGATTCATATAAGGAGCACTTTTTAAAAAAATCTGAGATGTCAAGGATATGCCCAAATAACTGGGCATATCCTTGCCCAGCCACAGCGGATTACCAAGTCATTGTTTCCATAAGAGCCAATGCAAAGTTCTAGACAAAGCCACTGTAACATCAGACAAGAAAACAAGTGAACTCCCTGGCTCCCCTGAATGTAGAAGTGGCTAAGTTTGTGCTCATGGTGCTGCGCTGGTGGAGGCCACAGTGAGGTGATGGTAGGTTCCGATGCTTCACGCTGCACGTTTGGACCTACTGGATGATGTGCAGAAAGACATGCACTGAATACAGAGGGAATTCTCTAGAATTCATGGACATCACTGATAGCAAGAGCACTGCTTACAGTGGCATAGCAAATTGGGCAGAACTACATTTTAGCAGGCTGTTAATTTGATCTACAGTTCACTACTGTGTAGCCTCCAGCCTTTTTCTTGTAACTTACTGAAAAATGCACTGGTGCTTGCTACTTCTCTGTCTACAGAAGCATATTTCAAAGAAGATGCAAAGTTCTTTCATGGCTTTTAACCACTATCTCACCATCTGTAACAGCTAGGTCTGTACACAACTTATCCAGTTAAAAGTTTTTAGACATGAGAATGGTATTAGGGCTTTCATGCTATCATACCTTCTGCCACTGGTGGCAGGAGAAGAACTGCACCAGGTGCCATCTACAGCGTCCCACCCAACCACATAAATAAGTGCCACGGTGGCTGCCATCTTTTGCCCTTTCTCTGTTTCTCTTGTAGATAGCTCTTTCAAAGGATGTT